AAAAATAGCATTGGAATCGATATGTTAAAATTGAGTTAATTGTGAGATGTGATTGTTAGAAGTTAATATGGTTGAAAACAGTATTCATTTATAGAAATAGAGAACCCAGAAAAATGGAGACAATAGTCTTTAATGGTCAGATTATACCTGAACTGTTAATGTTAGAGGGCTGACAACAAACGAGTTTTTCCAGAGAACTTTGCATGATGCATTGACAAAGGAAAAGACATAAGGAAGGCAGTGCAGGTCCTCATATATTTTCACAACTGTCCAATAAGAGAAAAGACACATTTTGAGAGGCTAGAACAAGGACCATTGCATAGAAAGTTCTGGGAGGCAGACTTTTCTCCTTTTTATTTCTAAGGCTGTATTTTGTGAATGTAGGCAGTATGTTTACAGTTTTGAAACAGATACAATGTCTAACGTCTTCACCTCTGACCCACCCTTAGTTGTCTTAGTATGAATTTATTTATAATTTGCTCTCTAAAAAGTGGACTAGACTATTTGAAGCAGAAGTGAATTTCTTTTTCACTCTGATGATGTGGTCACCATCACTAATGCTCACAATGTGATCTGGTTCTCTTTTTGACATGTGGAAAGATACTATTGTGACCAGTTGGGGTTACCACCTGGGACCTCTGTTCTTCTCATCAGAGCAGAAAATATTTTAAGGCCAACGATAATGAAAGTAAAGCAATCCAGAATTTACTGGACACAGCAAAATCACACTCAGGACAGTGAAACAAGGAAGGACATAGAAAAAGCAACAGGACAGCGTGAGCTGGGTTGCTTTGGCTCAGAGAAGCCAGAGAAAAGGGGGCCTTGGAGATAGTATCAGGGAGTTAGCCCAGGACAAGCTGCCACTGCCCATTGCTCCCTGGTTGCAAGTCTTGTGGGGTCCCTTAGAGGGAAGAAGGGGGAAGGGAATGGCACAGGCTTGCTCTTTTGGTGGAGGGAGGGGGGGAGCAGGACACAAACTAGGTCCTTTTTGTTGGGGATATTTATCTTTCAATTGCAGGTGGGAATCTTAGAGAGGTATTAGGGGAGGGTCTTAATAGAATATTCATCAGCTTTTCAGGTGTGCTTTTTCAGGGTCATGGTGTCTATTGATTGGTCAGTGACAGGGCAGGGGGTCATTAGTCAATGCAACTGGTCCTAAAGCCACAGTGTCACTTGTCTGACTTTGCTGCTTTCTGGAGCCTGGAGCCGAAATACAACTGAGAGACCTAGATGTTATCCATCGAGAGGAAAAAGTCATGGGGGGTCTAAACTGCATGATCATGATGTGCTAGGGAGGAAAGGTTACCTTGAGGGTGAGGTTCTTGTTTTCCCAATTTTGCCCCTTGCTAGACATCTGGGGCTTTCTGCCCTGGAGAGTCTGTACCCAGCCCATTGTCCTTGCTTTCCTCTTGTATTTGGGTGTGGTCATGTAACAGGCTTTGTCCAATGAAATGTGAGCAGAAGTGATATATATAATTTGCAGGCAGAAATATTTAAAAGACTGTGTGTGATTCCCATGCCTTTCTTCCGTGGTCACTGTGGAAGCCTATGATGAGTTGAGGATGCCATCAGATCACAGCACCAGGAGTACTTAGGTTGTAGTGTTCTCTGCGTGACCAAAAAATAGCCTTTTCTTATTGTAAACCAGTGTGAGTTGTGAAGTTGTTATAACAGCATAACCTAGCCTGTTCTGGCTTTTCTCCTTTGGTATGTAACAGCTAATATCCCCGGGCCATTAGAAGTCAGGTGACAGGGCTTCTACTGTTCGCTCTTACACTACCTATGAGCCTAGTAAAAAATTAGTTTTCTCTGTAAAACAAGATTGTTTGAATGAAAAATATGGACCATCTCTTCTAGACAAAAACTGAGATTTTAAAGTCTGTTTTAATACTTGATGTAGTCGAAGAAAACAATGTCCTTTATAACTATCTGTTCTGTTGTTTTTAACTATATGATTAAAAGCCCACTTTGCTGTTTACTTTTATAATTCCACATAAATTTCTGCCTATCTTTATTAGGACCAATTTTATTTAGTTTAGAACAAAACTGATGTATGCATTGTTTTAGAGCCTTCATAATCTGCTAACAGAGTATAATCCAAGTTATCAAACACCTATTAAATCACTGCACTTCTTTGAAATCATTCCTGCAATAGAGCTCCATGACAAACTGAAGTATGAAAAAAATTTATTTATTTATTTATTTATTTATTTATTTATTTGTTTGTTTTGATCCCAGCTAGATCCCTTTCTTTTGCTACATAAAGGGTATGCTTTCATCCCAGAAACTGAACTATTATCATGAAGATGCCAGAATTTCACAGTTTTTTCTTCTTACCAACAGATTTATAGCTTATCTTTAAAATTAGAGGGTTTTTTTGTTTCTAAGTTTAGTTACTCTGTAATTATTTGGGCTGAACTAGTCATCAGATATATAAATTCCTTAAAACACTCAATATTTGAATTGATTTGGCATATATCCAGTTTTCCTAGGTTTGGCTTTCCTTTGAAAGTTCTATTGCCTTTAATAGAAGCTCAGATTCTTTTAGAAAATCTGATGGAATCACCTCTTAAGTATGTGTCGTACGTGATCCATACAGTTTCCAGTACTGTTTGAAATTGGCTCTTTAAATAACCAATCTGTTTCTAGTTCACATTTTAAAGATGAGTCAACAACTGAACATCAGTATAATTTTCTCTTTAAAACCTTTATTCTGAAATAGGCTATACTTAATAGGTACTGAATCAGTATTTGCTGAACAAAAGAATTTAATATAATTATTAATATAGCTATTTTGTGAAGCTGTGAATTAAGGTCCTGAATTTTTTATTTAGTTTATTTTTCCTCATTACCTCTGTTCAGCCTTACATTAAGAATAACTATATTCCATATTGTAAAAGACACTTTAAATTCACCAAATATCACATTAAATTTCTGTTCCCTTTTAAACAACTAAATCATATGGCAGATTACTACTGAATTTTAACCTCACTTTTTCATCTCCATAAAATACATTTAAATATATCCTAATTATAAAAGACTATTAAATCCATTTCTTACAAGACATGGCTTCTGGTCCTGATTCTAGTTTTGTCACTAGCTATGTGACCTTGTATAAATTGCTAAACTTCTTAGAGCATTTATTTCCTCATTTCTAAAATTAGAGGCTTCCAGTGGATACATTTCTAGTTTCCTTTTTAACTCTGTGATAGTTTTCTTTGTGCATGTTCAATATACTTCTTTAGTCTAGGTCTTCCATTGTTTTCAGAAGCATTTATAATAGCTCACCCTCTACAGTACATTTTCATGGCCTCTTTGACCTTCCTTAATGCTAATATAACAGATAATAATAACCTATATGCTGGTCCAGATAAGTAAGCCAGATTATGCTGCAGTAACAACCTCTCTAACCTCAATGGATTAAAGCAACAAAGGTTATTTCATGTTCATACTAATTGCCTATAATATGTGGTCCCAGAACTTTGCTGTGTGTTGTCGTCATTCCAGGACCAAGGTCTTTAAAGTACCCATCATCTGGAGCTTTGCAGATTCTGTGGCAGAGGCACATGAGAGAATACCTACATCATACATTGTCTTTGAAAGCTTCCACCTAGAAATAAACACGTCACTTGTGTCCATATGGCATTGACCAAAGCAAGTCACTCACCATACCTCACTTCAAGGGGGCAAGAAGTACTATCTTACCATGTGGCCTGGATGTGGAAAGACACAGGAATATTTGGTGAACAGTCCTTATGACTATTCATCATGTTTTAAATAAAATGTTGAGTCCGGCTGATGTGGCTCAGTGGTTGACCCATGCACCAGGAGGTCGCTGGTTCTATTCCCAATCAGGGCAAACGCCCAGGTTGTGGGCAAAATCCCCAGTGGAGGGCATGCAGGAGGTGGCCAATCGATATTGTCTCTCATTAATGTCTCTATATCTCTCTCTCTCCCCCTTCCTCATTCTCTAAAATCAATAAAGAAAAAAATTTAAATTAAAAGTTACATAGTTATAATTAACTCAATTAAAATTTGATCATCTTCAGGGGGAAAGCATGCTTAAGATTCTGTATACAGACTGCAACTTTTAAAAATTTCTTTGTAGTGAATATTGTAAGGTGACACAGAAATAATAGGATTTGAGTTAGTATATTGGGATTATGATCGACTTTTAAAACTTTTTAAAACTGTCTATAATGTTATTTCACAGTTTTTAGAATTTAAGATGTTAGACTGGCCAAATCCATTTTAAAATGAAGTAAAAGAAATTATATTAATGGAGATAACTTATCAATATCAATGAAGAGTTTTAAAAGGCTTTCACTCATGTTTTATTATTAAATAAAACTCTGATTAACAACCATAGATAAAAATCAAAATTGTTAAGCCCTGGCCGGTTTGGCTCAGCAGTTAGAGCGTTGGCCTGTGGTCCAGAGAGACCCCGGTTTGGTTTCTGCTAAGGGCACGTACCTCGGTTGCAGTTAGTCCCCAGCCCTGGTTGGGTCGTGTGGGAGGCAACCACTCAATGTGTCCCTTTCACGGCGATGTTTCTCTCTCTCTCTCTCCCTCCCCCCTCCCTTCCACTCTCTCTCAACAAAAAGTGGGGGAAAAAAATCAAAATTGTTAGAAGTATCATTTTGATCCTTTTAAAATCTCCATGATAGAAAATGTAAGTCTTTCTATATGGAACTACTGTGCCCAGTGTACAAAGAAACTTATACAAGCCTGCTCCCCTCTTTTTTCTCCTCCTTATCATTTTCTCTCTCTTGTATTAGCAAGATTTATCTCACATCCAAAAATGAGACTAGAGTTAAGAATGCAGTTTTTTTAGAATTATGAAGAAAGAAGGAAATAAAGAAAAACATGCTTTTTATTTGAGGGCATAGTTTCTATTAGCTAAATACTATGTGTCTTACAAAGAAAACCAGACGTGCAGAACCAAAGATATTTAGCATGAAAAGGGTTAAATACCTAATCATTTTTAAAAATTTCTTTAGGAAGAAGAAAGACGTATGGCATCCGTTGTAGCCAAAAAAGAGGAAGAGAAGAAGCGGGAAAGTCATAAACAATCCTTGCTCAAGGTATTTTCTCCGATGGCTGCATGCCCACACTCCCTGCACTGAAGCTGGCTAATCAGCTGGAAAAGCGGTTTCCAGTCTAAAATGTTCAATCCTATCAATAGGATGTTTTTTATAACACCTCTAAAACTTGTATAAGCTTACTACCTATAAATAGATTTGTGCTTCTGAAATACAGTATAATGTACATTATAAAACACATACAAAGGTTATTTTAAAAGGAAGAAAATATATATATATATAACAGAAGTTATCATTTGTTTCCATACAAATGCATCACCTGTGTTTCCGCATGGCATTTAAAGGTCTACATCCGAAAACTCTGTTAGCTTCTCTGATGTAGAGGTGGTGAAGATTTAGAGAAATTTAGAAATTGACATTTGTTTTAAACTGGTTTTAAGTGATTTAGCATATCAGAAATTTATTTATTTAAATAAAATGTCGTATTTTAAAATATTTTATATTAACATCACAAAGTATAATAAAGACAGCTTAAAACTTATATCTTGTGTTATGCTTTATGCTCTGTTCTAAAGCTAAGTGTGTTGCCCTGATGATCATTACTCATTCTTGTCCTGTCCAGGTGCTTTTCTTTTTAAAATTAAGGTTAAAATAGTGTTCAGAATTTTAAAAATGACTACTACCCATACCAAGTTGTATTTAAGAAATAAGGAAACTTGGTGTGTGTGTGGCGGGGCAGAATATTGTATATCTTATAGGGCTAGGGATTACACACAGGTATATATGCATTTGTAAAAACCGGTCAAAGAGCACGCATTAGTCTGTGTGTTTTACTATGAAAAATACTCTTAAATTAGCAAAAAAGAAAAGCAACTTGGTCCCAAGCCCTCTCAGCTCAGGACGACTACTTCAAAAGTAAGTAGAACTTTCCTTGGGTACTTAGATTTTCCTCACCTGCTGTGCTGATTCCCCACCTTTCGTTTCCCCTTATCCATTCATCAGGGGTGCCTTAGCTTTTTCTTGACATCTCTGCCTTTATATTAATTTAGCCAATAAGATTTTAGTTTCTCTGTTATGGAATATCCCTAATGGTCTGCCAAAAACACATTGGCTTATAGGAAATACAGTTGTAGGCAGTATTTTTTTAATTTATAGGAGCGAGATTTACCATTGCCATATACTAGTGCTGGCAAAGTTTCTGACTTGTTCACTTAGAAAAAGTAGTATTTCTGCTGCTGTCAGATGCATAAGTGAGTGAGTGAATAAGTGAACAAAAATGCATAAACAAGTAAGTAGACTAAAGCTTTCAGACCTGAGGAACACTTATGTGAGCCCAGAGCATGGAAAGGAAGAATAAACAAACTTCAGTCATGATTTAGCTCTAAGCTGGTATAATAGGCCAGAAATCGCACTCGACTTAGCCTTGGAACCTAAATGATTTTGTTAAATACACAATTCGGCTGCTTGTTATCATCAGTATTTTTGGAAATGTGCCATTGAATTTTTAGCAAACATGTTTTTAAATATTTGGAAAATTTTTGTGAAAACTTCAAAAAATAGCTAATGCTTCTCGCAGTCACTACATAGGACTGTTGAATTATGGGGTTTAAATTACTTAGTTTACTTAACTAAGGAATTACTTAGTTTAAAATTTGTTTTATTAGGAGGGAAAGCATGGGAAATCAGGAGACGTGACTTATAGCCCTAACTCAGATTGGTGGTCATGATTCCAAAGGCCCTCAGCATTTGCTGGGGATTGTTTCATGTGACATCATTAAGAAAATGGGTGGGTGGTTATAGAGACAGGAAGAGTGTGCAGACACATACCTTCTGCCTTACTGCTTTTCCATCTACTTCTCTTGCAAGCTCTGGAATGAATGGAAGTGATAGTCATGGCCTATACTGGTGTGGTTTTGTTTGGGCTGTGAAGAATTGACTCAAGTGGTAGAGCTGAAGTTTGGCATCTTCTAAATCAAGTGTCACTTTAATACAGAATTAGTAATATATTGCCATCTAGTTTTAGAAACATGACTGTAATTGATATGCCAAATGCATATATGATCATTGAGCACAACATTTTTCTTTGAGTGTCCCACCCACTTCTGCCTTGCAGAATTTCTATCTTTATACTATGTTCTTTTGCTTCTTTTTTTCTTTTGCTTTTTTCCCTCTTACTCACAGATATCTAGAGTCTTATGTGTCCCCCTGGCCAGCCAGTGATTCCCACCTGACCTCAGGCTACATTCTTATTTTAAGATATGTCTTCCCTATTCCTGGGCCCAGTTTTTTAAAATTATCTTAGTCAACATGGTGTGTATCTGATTTTAATAACCCAAGTAAAGGATGCTTAACCTTGGGGTAGATATAGGAAAGTGTTTACATTTTCAGAGTATCTTGTTATACATTTGTTACTATAGTCAGTGGTGTAAAGATATTTTGTGCCTTTTTTCTAAACACTGATATACCTACCTTATTAAGAATATTTCTGCCCTGGCCGGTTTTCTCAGTGGTTAGAGCATCAGCCTGCGGTTCTGAGAGACCCGGGTTCGGTTCCTGCTAAGGGTATGTACCTCGGTTGCAGTTTGTCCCCGGCCCTGGTTGGGTCATGCGGGTGGCAACCACTCGATGTGTACCTTTCACATCGATGTTTCTCTCTCTCTCTTTCCCCCTCCCACTCTATCTGAACAAAAAATGGAAAAATGTCCTCGAGTGAGGATGAAAAAAAAAAAAAAAAGAATATTTCTCTCTGCCAACATCCAGTCAGCCAGAAAACAAAATGCATGGAGCTCCCATAATAGATATCCTCCATTAACCCACTGCCCCTGCCTCTTTCAAAGTGGCCTTGGTAATGAATAGAAACAAAGGCACTACTTAGGTTAAGAATTGGATTATCCAAATCAGCAAATAACTGAAATAGAATTTAAGGTAAGATGCCTTTTTATTATAGATTTGGAAATATTTTTTGCAGTAGAATAGCAGATTCCTACTTGCTTTAGATAAGGAGGACATATGTAAAGTGTCAAAAAGTCTCAGAAATATATACATACTAAGTATAACCCACTGAACTATATAGACAAATTTGAAATACCAAGCAATAGAAAAAATGCTAAAAACATTTCTAAACACAAAACTGGAACTTTTTAAAAGTTTAGTTTTAATTAGCTTTGTCATAATTTTTTGTTCCTATTCAATGCCATTTCTACATGCTAAAATTTTAGATAACCAAACATAGGCAAAGAGGTGGAACTAAAAATTATTATTCTACATGTGTATATGCACTGAGAAAATGCGCAAAGAATCTTTCTAATAGCCTTCACTGGCTCCAGAGGGAGCAGGTGAAGAGAGGTCAGTATCACACACCGATTTTTCATTGGATGATTAAGAGGAAAGGGAAAGTGTCTATTTTCAGCCTCTGATCTAATTGACATGCCATATAAAATTGTTAACATTTGATCATGTAGAATAGAATAGAATAGAATAGAATAGAATAGAATAGAATAGAATAGAATAGAATAGAATAGAATAGGTGATTATTTTCCCCAATACATTTATATAAGTTGACTAGAAGCATTTCAACCCGGCGCAGTTTCTTTCAGTAGTCCAGATCTGATTTTTCGACAAGTTTCTGTGAGAGAATGGTACCCCAATGCCCTAATCAATGGTTCTCAAAGTGAAGTCCAATAGTAACACCTGGGAATTAGAAATGCAATCTCAAGAGCCCCATCTGAAACCCACTAAATTAGAATGTGGTAAGAACTAGCAATTAGTGTTTTAATAAGCTCTCTTTGTGATTTGAGGCACTCTGAAGTTTCTGAACCACTCCATTAAGGTATCCATTGCATATAACAAATTAAAAATTTTCATATTTATCTAGGATGGTACTAGTTACCTAGAAATATTTCAACCTATTACAGTTTCTTTCAGCAGTCTGTCTATAATTATTAATCTTCAGACATTGAAATTTATAAGATTATTTCATCATATTAACCCTAATTATTGGATAGGAAAATTAAAATATCCATTTTTTTCTTTCTGTGTTTAAACACAAAGGCATGTAAATTTCTGTTAAATTAACACTTCAGATAACACTTAAGTATATAAATTTCCGTTAAACTTTCAGGTAGTGAATTTTTATATCTCCAATGGGAGGAATTATTATTTGTGTATATTTCTTTTTCTTTAAGGATGATAGACTATTATTAAGATGTTTGAATGCAAAAAGAAATAAAGACCAGTTATACTTTGTTTTAGAATACAAATTTAGCTACTTTTAGGGAGTAGACTCATTTTAAAAGTGTGATAAGTAGTACAAACAGTAAGCTCTTTGGATACTCTCCTGCTACAAAAATTGCTTTATGAACTTGTTACAATAAACTTTTTCACAGGAGAAGAAAAGGTTAACAATTAACAACGTAGCACGACAGTGGGACTTGCAACATCGAGTAACCGACATTGCTACAAACCATGATAGAAAAGATTCTGACTCTCCTTCTCAGGACCCCTGTCTGAAGGATGGAAGCACCACCTCTGCATTTCCAGAGGAAACGGGGTATGCGATGCTATTCTTTCTAGATACAGTACTAGTCTTCGAAGAACTGAATTTGAAGCAGAAATGGGAAGCCATCTCACATATAATTATTTAACAATAGTTTTCTTATGAAAATCTACTGAATTAGAAGTTTAAATTTAAAAATTAAGGTGGAATTATTGAAAAAACACACTGACCCCTAGTTTAAAAACCCTTCAGTGGTTTTATATTTGTCATAGGAAAAAAATGTAGAATACTTAATATAGCCTGTAAGACCCCAACCCGCCTCACCTATTTTATCCTATTCTATTGCAGCCTTGGTGAATTCCAGTTTAGTTATTTGATTGGAAGTTACTTTCTTTCTGTTACAAGAAAACAGTTTATTCTCCCCTGACACCACTTCCCTCCCCTCCTCCCCTTACCCTGCCCTAGCTTTAACTCCAACTCAGCCTGGAGGGCTTCGGTTTCGACTTCATATCCCCTGAAAAGCCTTCCCTAACTGTTTTCCAGAATCTACACTATATCACATACCTCCTTTATCTCTCAGTACTCTGCATGGCACCTTCTTAGCACTTTCCATAACCATAATTAAATGAAGGGTGGATAGTTTTTCAGATCTGTTTTCCCCATTACAGTATAAGTTTCAAGAGGAAAAGAATCCTGATTATCTTGACCTATATCCATCCCTGGCAGCCAGCACAAAACCTTACTCCTTAGTTAGTAGTATTAAGCAGTTCAGCATAAAATCTGAATAATTACTCCACTTGTGTTCTATAATATCTGTCTATTCCTGTGGCTTAAAACCTCTTTTCTTCTATGACACGTGTCACATAATTCATATCTCCTGGTTTCTGAGAAAATCTGAGTACAATGTCTAGACTTTGCATATTTATCTTCCTCTTAAGAAAGCACTTTGGAATCAAGTAAACGAGAAGGGCATAAAGCATATATATCTTTATAGTTTATTTATAATTTTAAATATATATATGTATATAATTTTAAAATAAAGCCTAAAAATCTGTTGAAATTTCAATTTTGTTTCAGGTGATGAAGCAGTTATCTAATTACTTTAACCAAACTCTGAAACACATTTCAAACCAAATATAATGTAGCTTTTTTTATTTCAAGTTTTTAGCTAGTATTCTTTAAGCTTTTTATAATATAAATAATGTAATAAAGAAACTAATTTAAAAGGCATTAGAATAATATTTTGGATTTTTCTAGAGTTAAGAGTCTGATATATATTTAGACAAATAAACTTTACAATTTTTAATTATAGGATTCCTTTATATTGATCAATGTATTTTCTTCAGTTCTCTTAGGTATTTACATGTAGAGCTTCTCAACTCTTTCAGCTAAAAAAGTCAGGCAACAAGAATATAAATTTATGCTCTGGCTGGGTGACTCGGTTGGAGCATCGTCCCATATACCAAAAGGTTGTGGATTTGATTCCTGGTCAGGGCACATACGTAGGTTGTGGGTTCAATCCCCCTTCATGGCACGTATGGGAGGCAACTGATTGATGTTTTTCTCTCACAGATATGTCATTCTTATATTGCCCTAGAACTCTATATTTAATATCATTTAAATGTCAAAATATTATTTTACTTGATTAGAATTGTAATACTTTATAAAGTTAAATTTTATATCATTTGTCTTTAGATTTATGAAGTACTATATAATTTCTCTTTTAAAAAAGTATTTTTTCTGTCCTCCTTAAGGTTTTCTAGTTCCAAGTTTATCCAAATAGTCTTGCAAATTTTATTCTAAAATTTTAATAAGGTTTAAAAAGTTAATACTAAAATACATCAGTTTTATTTTTAATATGGTGTTATATAAGAGTCTAACTTGACTTTATTTCAGTTGATAAGTCAATGTGCTGATAATAGTATTCCTTAATTATCATTCTGATTTTTTTAAATGAGAATGCCATTTTCATCTTATATTAAGATCTCATAAATATATGGATGTATTCCTGGACTTTCTATTCCATTTCACTAATCTACTTAATCTGTTTTAGTGCCAATACCAAACTGTTTTGATTATTGTAGTTTTGTAGGAAGTTTTAATTTCTGGGAAATCTGCTTTCACTATTCTTCCCAACGTTTCAATTCTCACACACTTTTTCTAGTATATGAACTTTAAAATTATTTAAGTGGGGGCCCCAGCCAGTGTGCCTCAGGGGTTGAGCATCGACCCATGCACCAACAGGTCATGATTCAATTCCCAGTCAGGGCACATGCCCAGGTTGTGGGACTGATCCCCAGTGGGGGGCATGCAGGAAGTGATTAGCGATATTCTCTCTTATCGATGTCTCTCTCCCTCTCTCTCCCTCTCTCTTCCTCTATCTCTAAAATCAATAAAGAAAAATTATTTTAAAAAATAAATAAAATAAAAGTAATTAAGTGGGAAGAGCTAAACCAAGGAACTTATATGTATATATGCACAACCAGTGGACACAGACATAAGGTTGGGGAAAGCAGGAGGTATTGGGAGCGAGGAGGAAGGGGGTGTCAATGAGGGGGGAAAGGGGGACATCTGTAATACAACAACAATAAAATAAAATAATTTAATCTAAATGATAGACTTTTTTTAAAATGGCATTTAACTTATTTATTTCAGAAGGATTGACATTCTTAAGATAATAATCATCACTTTAAAAATGAAGATATAGCTCTTCATTTTGTCAGGTCTTGTTTGGTATTCAGAGGGAGCTAACTGCCAAAGTGTTGAAAGGTTGAAGGAAAATTATGAGGAACTAAATGAAGTTACAGACCATGAAATCATAGCAACTGTAGTCTGAATTTTTAAGAGAGTATTCCAGAAACACCGGATAAGTTAAATGTCTGATAAAAAATGAGATAAAGGATCAAAGGTTGTGAGTTTGATTCCTGGTCAGGGCACATACAAGAAGGCGACTGATTGATGTTTCTCTCCCACATCAATGTTCCTCTCCCCCATGCCCCCTTCACCTGTCTCTAAAACTGATGAGCATGTCCTTGGGTGAGGATTGAAAAAAGAAAGAAAAGGAGTTACCAACCAAAAATACAGTGATACTGGCTTTTATATTTACCTATGTAATTACATTTCCCAGTGTTCTTTATTTCTTCATATGGCTTGGAGTTACTGTCTAGTGTTCTCTCATTTCAGTCAAAAGGACGATTTTAGCATTTCTTATAGGGTAGGTGTACTAGCAATGAAATCTCACAGCTTTGATTTATCTAGGAATATCTTGATTTCTCCCTTATTTTTGAAGTACAGTTTTGCTGGATATAGAATTATTAATTGACAGGTTTTTCTTTTAGCACTTGATTGACACTCATTCATTCCACTGCCTTCAGCCATCTGTGGTTTCTGATGAGAAACTGACTGTTAATATTATTGAGGATAATCTTGTATATAACCAGTCACTTTCTCTTGCTGCTTTCAAGATTCTTTCTTTTTCTTTGTTTTTTTAACAATTGGAAGTGATTGTGTAGGGACTTCTCAGGTCTTTTCTGAGCATGTGTCCAGCCCTGGACTTGAATGTGGACTTCTGTATTCCCTGGAATATACAGGAGCTTCTCAAAGCCCCTACTCCCCCAAGTATCTTCTTTCCCAATCTCTCCTTCCTTGGGCTTGTTGGTTTATTGTTTGCCCCATATGGCAGCAGCTAATACATTTTTGCCTTTATGCTTTTAACAAATGTCACCAGGAAGCCACCTCAGCCATGAGGAAGCTCCAAGGCCGGTGAAACAAAGGCAAACCCTTGAGCTGGTCCTTCAAAACACACAACCATAATTTTTTGAGAGTAAGGTATGTATCACTTCTGGTACCAGCAACCTGCACATAGAATGTGGGCTGTCATTGTCAGGGCTACCACTGAGCTGGGGAATAAGGGGATGGTAACAGGGCAAGTTAAAATACCATAGAACTCTCTTACTAAATTCAGCATTTTTTCTTAAGCATTCCCCTAGTTGTTGTAATGTTTTTGTTAGATTCCAGAATTCTGAAAAAGGTGATCTGACAGTTCTTGCTAGCATGTTTGTTGCTTTTATGGAGGGATGGAGTTTTGGAGTTCCCTACTCTACCATTTTCTCTTCTTTGGAAATCTAATATGTTTGCTATATTCTATGAGCTATACTTTTACATTTCAAGATCAAGATAATATGCATCTGTTCTATAATCATTTGTCAGTTGGTATCTTCTAAAGATTAAAACTAGCAAACACTGTTTAAGTTTCTGAGGTTATATAACTATTTTTTATGTGAGAATTAGGTAGTATACTATGATTATATCTCATTTTCTGCTTCCTAAACCACTCAGAGACTAATCTGAGCATAATAATCCAAACAGCCCCCTCTTAATTACACTTCAAAAGTTGTTCAAAACTGTGCCACACATTTTAGTTTGCTTTGTACTGGAGCCATGACTTATGTACCTTGTTTTTATCTGGGGTTTCTTTTTACTTTTATTTATTTTTTAAATTGATTTTTAGAGCAAGGAAAGGAGAAAGAGAGAGAGAAACATCGATGTGAGAGAGAAACATCTATTGGTGGCCTCCCACATATGCCCCGACCAGGGATCAAACCTGCAGCCTGGATACGAGCCCTGATCGGGAATCAAACCCACTATCTTCTGATGTATAGGACAGTGCTCCAGCCAGCTGAGCCACACCAGCTAGGGCTATCTGCAGTTTCTTATTGCCTGTCTTTTTTCTTTTTAATTGAACACTGAAATGTGTACTGCCTTTACTACATTTCTTTTTTTTTTTATTGACTTCTTATTTATCTTTTTGAAACCTACTCTCTCTCTGACCTAATTTTGTCTCATTATTTCCTTTATTATTATATATCATATTACTAGTAGATTTTTTTTTTTCTCCTATTGTGTTTCTTTCTCATATTCTCAAGTACTTTTAGCCTCTCAACTTCTAAATGGTAGAGTTGCTCAGATTTTGGTCTGGGGCCTTCTTCTTACTCTCTGTTTCCCCCCTAAGTAATGTTACATATGTCTTTGACTTTAAGTACCATTTATATTTT